TTGATCACGTCGTAATTGGTCAAAAAAATTTATTTTTTTTCCTAAATCAATAGCATATTTTTAGTATATATATTTTTTTTTAATACGACACTTGCAAAATATTACCTAAATATTGGCACCAGGAATCAGTTTTTTGCCCTCCTTAAAAGTTATTAAAAAAAATATAACTGTTTTTGTTGGCGCAACGACGATTTGTGCCCACAAATTAAAAAATTAGATTTTTTTTGAAAGTATACCATTTTTTTTTAGATTTGCCCATATAGCGAAGTGTGAGGGAAATGTGAAAAGTGTATGATTTTGCGTTTGTTTTTTAATTTTTGGTGGCTGGACACTAATTTTAAACGATTTTTTATTAATTTCATGCAACTCTAAGGCCGTGAATACTAAACATCAGCTATGAAAGAAAATCTCAATACTCAAGTCTCAGTCAGTCTAAACATACACCCCTATTCTGCAACTCTTTCGTATTCGGATTTTGCTACGAATCGTAGAAATAGTATGCTGCAATCCGAATCGTATTTTCGAACATTCGAAATTCGTAACAATGGTATGCCTAAAAACGAATTTGCGTAATTTTGTACGAAAACAATTGTGTGTCGGAGGCGAAATAAAAGATGTAAATAGATGTGTGCTTACAAGAAATATTGGTGGTGCTCATTTAAACAGATTTTGCCTTTCGCATATACGTATGTTTTTATCCACTGCTTCATATAAACGACCAAAACAAAATCTTTGTCTTATAGAGAAACTTGGGTCCGGTTTAGTTATTTGTAGTATGATTTTCGGTTGTTGTGTCCAAACGCAAAACCCGAATCCAGAAACTTTAACATACGCGTGTAATAAAGGATTCACATTTTATTTAAGATAAATCTTTCAAATTTCCTACCACTAGCTTATTAATAAACTCGGTTTGCACTATGTACTTTTTTGCAAATTTCGACGTGGGTTCTGGGCAAAAATACTGTGGACGGTGTAGCCGGAGTGATATGTTCAAGAAATGTTGTATACATTCGACATGCGGAAGCCCCTCTTCCCCGCAACACAGAAAGGAGAGTTCTACTTAGTAAGGGTTATAATTCTTAAGAGCGGCCGAAGGCAGAAGCAAGCGCAACAGGTGGTGGACCTAACAAAGTGCATATTTTCAATGGCTTGGAAGAAGCTCTTATTGCATTAACTTGATTGAGAACCAGAGCTTCAGGCATAGGATGAGTTCTAGCTTGTGGTTCAACAATTCAACCAGAAGCTGACATAGATGCGCCCATGGTGACAATGCCGGACAGCTCCGCATACCTTTGTGAATCCATCGCCATAGCGCCCTCTTACTCTGCTGCTAGAATTGCAAATGCATCAGAACCCTTAATTTTCCTCAAAATATGTAAAATTAACCAATTTTACAATAAACAAACACATGATGAGTGTTTTTTTTTCTATTCCACTTTGTTTTCCTTCATTTAGCTATCTTCGAAAAACAACTGATAGCTGGCAATGCTGCACATGTTTTTCGGCAAGGGTTGCAGCATGTGGATTTTTCGTTTTATAGGCAGCAAAGTGAGAATCAGCTGCAAAGAAGAATATAAAAACAAAATATTTTCGCTTCTGGCTTAGTTGGCATAATGAGTAATCATTGGCGATTTCTTACGTAAGTTAAGTTCAGTCTACACTAACAGAACCTTCTTGTCTTGTGTAGCAGGTCTACAAACGCCTCTTTGACTAGTAGGAAGTAGATAACTGTAGATAACTTTTTTAAATATATTGTATGCCAAAATATATTGGAAAGACTACACTTAAACTCTCCTAAACGTTGTCTGCTCCGGTTCAGTTCCACTAAGCTCACATTCTCTGATGATTCGTCGAATCATAACNTTTTAAATATACTATGGTGAATAACCTAAACGAGCGAAAGTTACAAAAGCGCTATTCTTCATCGAATGAGCGTCATAATTCCAAATGAAAATTCGTTCGATCAGCACCATATTTGAAGATCGAATGCAACTCATAATAAGGCCCTGTGTTTATTTTGAAAATATTATTGAAGATGGTTGCCATCTGTTTAAGTTGTCAAATTAAATAATAAGTAAAGTGAATTATTACAATCGGAATATTTTATGTGTAAAAATGAACCAGGAAACTCAACCCTGGTTTGACTTATAAAAAATTGTTTACATTTTATCCATAATAAATAAATTTTTTGTAGACAAGTGACGACAGACAGAACGAATTGGCAGATGTGGAAGATGTTGCTTAACTCAGATTGATAAAATGTGAAATTTCTATTAAAAAATGTTTCTTAATAAACTTTTCGTTTCATAACAATGTTATATATATTTTATTTCCTCACGGCATACAGTGTTTCGACTATATGGAGGCAGGTGGAAAAAAGTCGTGTTGACAGTTGATTTAAAAACCCGGTTGGACTTAGAGAGGGAAAAGTACGAACGGTACATTTCCAAAAAAAAATAAAAAATAATCGGCGCGATACTGACTATTCAATTTAGATGCATTTGGCGCTGAACCCTTTAAAGCAAGTGTTTCTTTTTCCACTGTAATCAATTCTTTAAGTGGCGTGGAATATTCAGGTGAGGTGAAGGTATTTATCATTTATTTGGTATTTTCCTATTTTTATCAAAAAATTTTCTTGGAAATATAGATGTTAAAGAGTGGAAAGCAGAAACCAAAAACTAACATAACAAAAGGAAGAGTACAAACTAAATTTCATCAACATCTTACAAAAATTAATGTTTCCTGAGTGTAGGGCGTAGCAATTATTTACCAAATTTCATAATTCGATATTCTTAAGTAAAATTAGAGCACATGTCAAGTTTCAGCGAAATCGGTGCAGGTTAACTATTATTTCCACCTGCCTCCATATAGTCGAAACACTGTGCGGCAGGAAAAAATTATTTTAAAAACGTACTCCGATTTTAACAACCCNACACTGTGCGGCAGGAAAAAATTATTTTAAAAACGTACTCCGATTTTAACGAAAGGGTTTTTCGTTTGAACTCAAATTGTAATATCAATTAATAAAATGATTAAATTTAATTAAACTTTACAAAGAGATGGTAATCCTTTTCAATAAGTATCCCATACACTAACCTAGGTCATAAATTGTCTGCGTGCCAAATTTTCCGTTTCGGCCGAAGAAGTAACCATTATTTTTTTTCCTGAAAAAGATGACCATTTGATGTAACCATTATTTTATTTTCAGAAAAATATGACACTCTGCTCGATTAGATGCAATGAATATTTAACTTAAAGTTCCAAAAAGGTCCATGTATGCATACAGAACCCCAAGTTGGTTGAAACAGTCGCTTACTACCGATTGCAAAAAATTAGTCCAGCAGTAGAGTGATAAGTAGCTGCGCCTTGTTGTTAAGTTACTGGCCCAATGCAGGCTTGCTTTGCTTGTTTCGCTTTGAGAACTGTCAAGTTATNGTTACTGGCCCAATGCAGGCTTGCTTTGCTTGTTTCGCTTTGAGAACTGTTAAGTTATTTGGCATATACTAAAACGTATGAAGGCTGACCAAATGGCAGTTTCAAATAGGCAAATTTTATTTTAAAGCGTTTTGTAGGCTTTTGACAAAAAGGTATGTTTCCGTTCTTAATGAATTCAAACAAACTTCTGCACACTTTTATGAACATAATTTTGCTTACATAATTTAAAAATATATACACTGAACCAAAAATCCATCTCTGGATCAAAGAAAAACGTTCCTTACTTTAATGTCGAAAATTTTTCCGAATGAGTAAAAAATTCTCCCGAATAAGTAATTTTTCTTTGCAGTGTGTAAAAACGTACACGAAAATATGGAACCGTGGATGTAATCATTTTGAAGAAATGTTGGGCATGAGAAGAGGATAAAAATTCTTTAGTGCTATTTCGTTCCCATTTTTCTTCATTTTGATTGCTGTTTTTCTTCAATTAAGAGAATTTTTTTTTTTTGAGTGTATAATATAAGTAATTCAAAGTTTAATAAAAATTATTCTGTTTCCATATTTGTATTTAACACATAGTTGGCTGAAATGTTGCTAAGTCCATTTTTACAAATTTGACGGAAAATTTGAATACAAAGTTTTGCGTGTTTAAAGCAAAGCAAAACTAAATCTTTTTAAAAGATTTAGTAATATTTTGGCCTTAACGTATTTTCGGGGTCTCATTTGGACTTAGAAAATTGCCTTTCCTTGAATATAAACGGGAAAAAATAAAACAAGTACCTTAATTTCTCTTGTTGCTTCCTTTATCAAAATATGAGGTTTCACAAAATGTAGACTAAGCAACTTTTCACGCAAAGCTAGCGATATTTATGATGTCAAACTACTGGTCAGTCGTCTCTTGATTTTTTTTTTGTTTTAAATGTACATCAAGCAAATTAAAGTTAGTAAGGCATGCAAAGCAAGCCTGCATTAGGCCTGCGCCTTTACGAGCTTGTGATGTGTGTGGGTTACTTCAATAAGTTCAGCGAAGAGATATTTGAGAATTGCATAGAAATAGATGTCATATTATGCGCATGTGCGAGTCGGTGCTCGCTGTAATCAATTAAGTACGAGTGAATCGCCCTTAAACACAAGTACGTATATGTGTTCGATGTACTTGACGTAGTCCGGGAAATGTACAAGTCGCTTCATCATCTAAATCTTTGTCGTGGCCGTTATTATGATCAAGAAACAGACCCTTCATCGGTTTTTAGTAAAAATAAACCAATGTGTTACAATGAGCTCACAAAATTTACTAATAAAATTACTGTCTTAACAACCCATTAAATGTAAATAAGGGAGATTAAAATGTGAACAAACCCAAAAAAAACTGGAACTCTTTCTATGTACATACAATATTTCAAAAGTAAGAAAAAATAGTTATCGCACTAATAAAATTTTATAATAACTTTCCTTAATTGACAACTTAGTAAATCTTAATTTAAGAGTTATAAGTAGGAAATAACTTATGAAAATCCTACAAATCAGATTTTTTTTTATAATCATTGTTATGTTTTTCCACTTACCTAAACTGTGATCGCCTTGATGCGCACGAGCGTGATCTTGGCCGCGCATACTGCTGTGCTGCTGACTGCTGTGATTGGGTGAAGTCCATGATCCCGGGCCCTGAGGAGAGACAGACCGGTTCGAATTCATTTGGTCCATAGCCGCTGCCGAGAGGTGTTGCTGTTCCGCCACCAATGTTGGCGATTCCGGAGCATAATTCTTCGTCTGATAGATCTCCACCTGGGCTGCTGTGACCTAGATAATATAATACATGTGATTTCACACATACATATGAATATGTAGACGGATGTATATGTACACTCAATCAATAAAGTTTACGTAAATTTTTTTTTGCAGGTGTTGCTTCTTTTTTCCACACAACGTATGCCCGAATTCTAGGACACCATGTATCTATGAGATTTTCTTTTAACTCGGTATGATAAATATAAACTTGAAGTATGTATGTAAAAAATTGTTAATGACAAAACAAAAGCACTCAATATTGCAGCACTTTATAAGGAAAACTGAATTAATACTAAACAGGGAATCCAATCCCGCACCATTTTTGGGGGATCAGAAATGAGGGATCCGCGGGACTACAGAAAAAAATTAAATAGACGAATGCGAGTTGTGAACGGGCTTGCCAAAATGTTCGTCGTGCATGACTATTAAATATACATCATTTTACAACCCAGTAGATAATTTCAGGAGCTAAAAAACCTTCCGAAAGGCCCTCTTGATAGTGGAAGGCCTTCCAGAAGGGCTTTTATAGGACGTAATTCAAAAGGCCTTTTGGAGGAGTTCGATCAAATTAGCTTCTTTAATTTATAAACATCATACAGTTTTGAAGTATTTGCTTGAGGTTTATATTTATTTATTTATTTATTTATTTATTTATTTAAAGAAAGGGGTTGTATCTGTAAGACTTTTTTGTCTTTTATAGTACATCAACTGGTTGGTAGTTACACAAAATTTAATTCCTTAACATTACGCTGTGTAAACTTAAAACTAAGAGATCGGCAAATTGAAAAAATTAATATATATATATTAATTTAAAATACTTAATACTAAATAATCAGCNGTAAACTTAAAACTAAGAGTTCGGCAAATTGAAAAAATTAATATATATATATTAATTTAAAATACTTAATACTAAATAATCAGTTAAAAAGAGAAAAAAATAGAAATAAATTAATTTATTTAAAATAAAATTAAAACTTACTGCTAAACATTATAAATTAAAAGTCCTCGTTTTTATTAAATACATAATTGGAGCACAGAAATTTAATTAATTAGGAGAAAAGAGACAGAGACAGAGAAAATAGAACAGCCATATCACAATCACATTCATCATAAATTATTAAGATAATTATGAGTTATCACCTTGTAGTTACCCCTATTCATAACAGCCTTGAAATATTCAGGGATGGAATTCCAGAGCCGAAGAACAGCCTTGATGAGGGTAAGTAGGAGTATTTAGGGAGAATCAGATTATGATGCCTGCTTGACCTTGTTAATTTCAACTTCTCGTATAGGTACCTTGGGGTTTGGAATTCTATTAGCTTGAACATAAATATACAATTTCTAGCGGATAGGTAATTAAAAATGCTGCATCCCAGAATTCTGGTTCTCCACGAAGAGATGTGGTCTTATTTTCTGAGGCCATTTTATGAGACGAAATAGAATCAAGTTTGCTATAAACAAGCTCAGAGTACGTTATTTGCGGTACAATGAGTTGAATAGCTAACTTTCTTCTTGTCTCCAAAGGTGTAAATGACGCTGACATTCGTAGTCTGCGTAAAACAACATAAACATTACTTACAACTTCATTTATGTGGTCAGAACAGCTTAACATAGAATTGACAACGAAACCTAATTTTTTTATTTTGTCAGTAAACATTAGGGCACTATCACCAACAAACAGTTCTGGAATATCTTCCACATGTACTACACTACTACTACTAATTGGCAACACATATGACTTATCAGCATTTAGACAAAGACAATTATCACGAGCCCATTGCGAAATTGCTGACAGGTCACTATTAATTTTGAAACACAAATCTTCCACAATACCAACACGNTCACGAGCCCATTGCGAAATTGCTGACAGGTCACTATTAATTTTGAAACAGAAATCTTCCACAATACCAACACANTATGTGGTCAGAACAGCTTAACATAGAATTGACAACGAAACCTAATTTTTTTATTTTGTCAGTAAACATTAGGGCACTATCACCAACAAACAGTTCTGGAATATCTTCCACATGTACTACACTACTACTACTAATTGGCAACACATATGACTTATCAGCATTTAGACAAAGACAATTATCACGAGCCCATTGCGAAATTGCTGACAGGTCACTATTAATTTTGAAACACAAATCTTCCACAATACCAACACAACAGGACAAATACAATTGAATGTCGTCAGCATATGCGGGGATATTGACATACTGACACACAGAGAAAACGTCATTAACAAAAATACTAAACAAAAGAGGACCAAGGACAGAGCCCTGTGTGGGAGGTCATGATTTACTAAGTCAAACGCTTTAGAAAAGTTCAGGAGGCAAAGAAGAGTTAAATCGCTATTGTCAAGTCGTATCCTTATGTCATCAAGAATTTTCAGCATCGCCGTAGTGCAGCTATGCTTAGGTCTAAACCCTGACTGCAGTGGGGATAACAGATCATTTTCTTGAATATATAATGAAATTTGCGCTGCCATCAGTGACTCACACACTTTCGAAAACGCTGGCAATATACTTATCGGCCTATAATCACTGGGGCTAGTAGCAATACTCTTTTTGGCAATAGGGATTATTACAACCTTCTTCCATTCTGTTGGGAAGTATGATGTTGTGAAGCAGTGATTGATAACATGGGTTAGTATGCCCAGAATAAATGGCAGCACAATCTTCACAAATTTTCACCAATGGCATTGGACTTGATACCCATAACAGACTTCAAAACTTCTGCCTCGGTTACTCCGCCAAATTCAAATGTTTCTTTAATGATAAAATTGTTAGTAAAGTTTTGAGCTGGAGGACTATTACTGCTCTTAATGGCGCTAGTGAAATAATCATTCAGTACGTTAGGGTCAATTTCACATTCAGCCTTAAGTTTTCCGTGCACATTTAAGTTTTTCAGATTGCGCCACAAGTCTTTTGATGGGAGGGACGGGTTCAATATGGAGTTCCAGAACAATCATTTCGCACGTCTTATAATGGCGGTAGCGTTGTTTCGTGCTAGTTTGTACTGTGACCAAGCAAAGTCAGTATTGTTTCGTCTCCATATTGCATGTAATTTATTTCGAACTTTTATAGCGGAGCTGACTTTATTATTATACCAAGGACAAGAACTATTCATAGCCTGAACAGCACGTAATGGAACATGATCATAATATAATTTGGTCAAAGTTTTGTTTAGAAAGTCAAGTTTTGCATCTACAGTTTCAACGTACCAACAGTCATCCAAGTTGACATTTGACAGACTAGTAAACAGATCACTAACATTTACAGATTTCAAATCACGATACATAAAAGTAACACTTTCAACAGTACTATTAAACGCAACATCTAATGCACAGAAAATTAGGCCATGGTCAGAAATAAAAAACATTTGGTCGAATTTAAGAACATGGTGTAGACTAGAGGTGATAATAAGATCTAATAGGCTAGGATGCGAATTGTTGGCATATCTTGTGTTACTGCAACTTAAAATGTATATTGAAATTCATTTGTAATGCTTAATAATATAAATTTATACATTCGCGTAAATTATAAATGGATAAGCCTTGCTGCAGGGAAGCATTTTTCAACTCTTTGGAATGCCTTTACTGCAGAAGGCCTACCTAAATTATCTTCACTAGCTATGACGGGGGAAACTAGCTTAAATTTTGTACATTTATCGATTTTTGAACACATTATACAAGTTTAGAACAAACGTTTTCTAGTATTAAACACCATCCTTCTTCTTCTTTTTCTTATTTTGCGCTGTAACCGCCTAAGCGATTTTGGCTGAGTTCAACAAAGCATGCCAGTAGTTTCTCTTCTGTGCCAACTGACGCCAATTGGAAATGCCAAGTGTAGCCAAGTGCTTCTCCACCTGGTCTTTCCATCGCAGTGGCTGCTACCAACAGCGGGTTCCGAGTTGAATACTTTCAGAGCTGAAGCGTCGGTGTCCATTGGAACGACATGACCAAGCCAGTGGAGCCGCTATATTTTAATTTGCTGCACTATGTCCACGTCGTTGTAAAGCTCATACAGATCATCGTTCCATCGTCTACGGTAATCGCAGTCCCCAACGCGTAAAGGCCTGTACATCTTTTTTAATATTAACAATATTTTGGTTAATATTAACAAGGCCTTGGTTGATATTTTCAACAATGATTTGGTAATATTAATCACACACAGATGCCTTTTCATAATTCGGAGATGCAAAATAAACATTTTGATGTGTATACATCTTTGGTTTCGGTAGGGGTAAAATTTGCGAAGCTGTAACGCATATCCCAGCACAAAATTTCGAAGGGCTTAGCAAGTGTATTTCAGCGTAAAATTTTTATTTTCATTAGAAGCACCCTGTGTTCGCTTGCCAAATGGTTGCATACATTTAGGCATATGCATAGTAAGAGGAAAGGCGCTAAAATTGATTATTAGCCGTCATCAATTCGCCATCAGTTAGCAAGTGGCGAAACGAACGAATGAGGTACAACCAAACTTGCTATCGTCTATCCGTGCTAGCTAACTTCGTTGTTGCTTTCTCATGCAAAATTTTTCGTTAAGCGACCGGAACTCAAACATAGCGAGCGAGAAGTGGCGAATCGACGACAGCATGGCATCCTATGACACCCACAATGCACAAGATACTAATTCCTTATTAACAATAGGACAATTATCGGGGAGGCTCAAGAGGCCCACAACAAACTCTACCGAGAAAATTATTCCCGGAATTTTCTCGTGAAGTATGTAACCGTGACATATATAACCGGCTGTTGATGAGCTCGGACTCGTTTTTAAGCACTATTTCGGTTTATGACCAAAAAAAGAAAAAATATCAAATCGTTTTCCCCAGACATTGCAACACATATTAGGCCATTTAAATATATTTTAACTGAATATTTTATTAAAAATACCTTTACAAACCTATTTGCCTTACTAGCGTCAATTTTTGTTTACTTTAACA